CTCTTTGCTACTCGGCGCTGCACTAATTCAACTGATAATTGCGCGGTCATGCAATGCTGCACCCAAACGAAATTTACGTCCTTTTTTTCACACAAATAGAGCTTTCTTTCGGTGGTATTTGATCATCTGTGCGCTTTTTATTTTTCACGCTATAAACAATAAAAAGGCCAAAAAGTTTGAAGAAAAACAATATTTTTTACTTTCAGCTATAAAAAATATATAGTAAACTCCAAAGTTGGTTATAAATTTAGGCCAAAATGTATTCTGCTCCATGTTTTTGGTAAAAAAAAATCCCAATAAGTGTATATTGATTGCTTTGTGTGAAAGTTATAGCGTCTACAAACTATGGTATAAATACTGCAATTTACAACAATTTTCTGCTATACAGTGCTGCGCTAACGGACAATTGCGCGGTCATGCCATACGGTACATAAATGAAATTTACATCCTTTTTTTCCCACAAATTGAGCTTTCTTTCGGTGGTATTTGATCGCCTGTGCGGTTTTTATTTTTTGCGCTATAAAAAAAAGGCTGACAATTTTGAGGAAAAAAAAAACAATATTTTGGACTTTTTGCTATAAAACATGTCCAGTAAAAAAAAAAACAAAAAATGCAAAAATCAAATTTAGTCATAAATTTAGGCCAAAATGCATTCTGCGACATGTCTCTGCTAAAAAAAAAAAAAAAAAACGAATACGTGTAAATTAATTGGTTTACGTGAAAGTTATAGCGTTTACAAATGGCGGGAAAGATACTAGGATTTTTAGGGGTTTTTTTATACTAATAATGGCGGCGATCAGTGACTTATGGCGGGACTGCGGCAGACATTCTGACATTGGGGGGGTACAGACTTGGGGTCACTGACATCCCCAAGAACACTAATACAGTGATCAGTGCAAAAAAAAAAAAAAAAACCACTGACACTGTACTAATGGCACTGGGGAGGAAGGGGTTAACTTTATTTTGCAGGGAAGGGTTATAGGAGTGAGGGGGAGTGTTTTTACTAGGGGGCGGGGTGTGTACTGGGCGGGACACCGCTGATCGAGAAAGAGAAACTCTTCTTTCTCGATCAGCTCATCCTCGAGCTGACAGGGAAGTAACAGACAGCACAGCTACTGCAGGTGTGCTGTCTGTCACTGTTTGCCGCCGATCGCCGGGAAACAGCCGCTAAGGACCGGCTGTGACCCGGAGACTCACATCTGCGGCGGTGATCGGCGGAACAGATAGGGCGGCGGCGCGCCTCGCGCGCGCCCCCTATTTGTTTACAAAACACACGTTTTAAAACGTGGTTTTGCCTGCGAGTGCCGCCCTGCCGCCGTATATGTACAGTGGCTGGGCGGCAAGTGGATAATAGAAACAAAGAAAAACTTTTTTTTCCAAATTTTTTGCTCTTTTTTTTGGTTTATAGCTCAAAAAATAAACCCCCCAGCAGCGAGTAAACACCACCAAAAGAAAGCTCTATTTGTGTGAAACAAATGATAAAAATTTCATGTGGGTACAGTGTTGCATGACCACGCAATTGTCATTCAAAACGCGACAGCGCTGAAAGCTGAAAATTGGCCTGGGCAGGAAGCGGATAGAAGTGCCCGGTAGACGAGGGGTTAAAGTCCCACCAACAAGAGGATTTCTCTATTGTACGTTTTCAGGGATGGTGGCACCTCTTGTATTGTATCCCTCCTCTTTTCTATCTTTGGGAAGAGGGCATTTTCGAGGGTTGAGGGCTTCCTGATCTCTCGTCGTCTTCCAGTGATGTTCTTCAGCTCTTGCAGCAGGCGTGCTGCTCAAAACATCTCAACCGATTCATCGCCGTAAACTTGCCGAATCACATCAAACGTCTCTGTGGCAGATTGGTCCGGTTTCACGCAGAATCTCACGGTTGCTCTTAACTTGCTGTCCGTGATGAAATAAGCACACGTGGCGACGCACGTGGTCAGAACAGCACCAGTCGCACAGCTCCCGACGTACGCAGGACGATGTCTTTTGGCGCATTGACTTATGACAGTCAGTGCTCCCTGTGACTGTGCGTGCGGCCTTGCGCTGCCATCTGTTGACAAGTTACAAAAACTAGTCTTGAAACTTTTTGATACCACTTCGTATACGTTCCTTATTGGTTACAATACACCTCTTGATAGGTGGCCATCGCTTAGATTCAAGATTTTATGTCATGACTCTCCATAGCAGATGAATAAACGTTACGGGACGAAAAAAACGGTGATCCCTATAAGTGCTGCGCCATACTTGCCGATGGATGGCATACCGTTCGACCATGGCTTTCACCTACTGCATTGCCGCCCAGCACCGGTTCTACCGATTGAAACTTGGGCTTGGTATTTGCAGGTTCCTGCCTGTATTTCAAGAGCCGGCTGGCTCTGCTCCCCTGCTGTGTGCTTACAGCTACAGCACCACACGGCTTCGTTTACAAACTCTGTGGCCATCCTGATTTGGCTTTGGCACCTACCTCATGGGCTGCACCAGTGCCCACCATACCAGAAGCTATCATGCCATTGATTGTTATGGGGAAGGAATCCATGCCACAAAGGCCGGGTGGGTTGGTCAGTTAGGGAAGACAGCTACCCGTGCCCAGTGGAAAGGGGGCCGACGAGCACAGAACCCTTCATACCTCTCACCTCTCAATTGATGCTTGGAGTTGCCCTGGGTCCACCATGACGTCAGGTGGCCCTTTACGCCTGACCACTGCACTGGTCCACTGTGTTGCGTCATACTTGCCAATAATTTGGCATACTGTTAGACCAAGGGTGTCAAACTGGCGGCCCTCCAGCTGTTGCCAACCTACCCATGAGGCATTGCAAGATTCACAGTTACAAGCATGACTCCCAAAGGCAGGGGCATGATGGGATTTGTAGTTTCGCCACAGCTGGAGGGCCACCAGTTTGACACCCCTGTTCTAGAGTAATCCTCCAAAGAAAGCCCTTCCCATGGCACAGGTCTTCTCGAAAAGGTTGGCACTACTTAGAGGCTCATAGAGGCTAGAGGTACATGTAAAAGTAACTTTATAGATCACGGGTGTCAAATTGGCGGTCTTCCAGCTGTTGCCAACCTACAAGTCCCATGAGACATTGCAAGATTGACAGTTGCAAGCATGACTCCCAAAAGGCAGAGGCATGATGCGACTTGTAGTTTCGCCACAGCTGGAGGGCCACCAGTTTGACACCCCTGTTCTAGAGTAATCCTCCAAAGAAAGCCCTTCCCATGGCACAGGTCTTCTCGAAAAGGTTGGCACTACTTAGAGGCTCCTACATGTAAAAGTAACTTTATAGCACACGGGTGTCAAACTGGCGACCTTCCAGCTGTTGCCAAACTGCAAGTCCCATAAGGCATTGCAAGATTGACAGTTACAAGCATGACTCCCAAAAGGCAGAGGCATGATGGGATTTGTAGTTTCGCAACAGCTGGAGGGCCGCCAGTTTGACACCCCTGATCTAGAGTAATCCTCCAAAGAAAGCCCTTCCCATGGCACAGGTCTTCTCGAAAAGGTTGGCGCTACTTAGAGGCTCGTACATGTAAAAGTAACTTTATAGAGCACGGGTGTCAAACTGGCGGCCCTCCAGCTGTTGCCAAACTACAAGTCCCATGAGGCATTGCTATTGACAGTTACAAGCATGACTCCCAAAGGCTGAGGCATGATGGGACTTTTTAGTTTCGCAACAGCTGGAGGGCCGCCAGTTTGACACCCATGGCCTAAACTGATTCCAATGGTGGGAAGAGGCCTGCCCAAGGGACTTGCACCAACCCACCAGGCAAGACTAGTTGGTGATGACCCTCAAACAGGAGATGTTATTAGCCGCACTATCGTCCCAACAAGAATTTCGAACCATCGGAGAGGGCAGCAAATATATATAATGAAAGGTAACAGGATAGAACAGTGAGCAGGATGTGATCAAATTCTAGCAACACTGTGAGGTTAACCTCCCTCGAGTTAGGGGCAGGGCCATACGCATCTGGGGTCAACCCTGAGGAGGCTAGCCGGCCCACCAGGCAGGGAAAAGCTTGCGACCTCCAACTTTTAAGGCAGGGGCGCAGTAAACGGAAAATTACTAATCTGAGACAAAACAGAACAACTGAACCCAATTGTGTTTAGATAATAGACAGCAGATGTATGCAACATGTAGCTCCACAGTACCTGTCGAGCAAGACCCCCGTGGGGAAGAACGGGGGTTTCAGGTGTGCAAAAACAAGGGTCACCAGAGCCCAACCCTACGGTGAATGGCAACAACGGGCAGAAAAGAAAGAGAGGACTGGACGTCACCCCGTTCTCTCCCATGTGATGGGAGCTTCGCCGAAGCCAGGGAATTGCCCCCGTAGCTGTCAGGACCCTCAAGGAGCCCTATAAAAGCAGTTATAAGAGTCTGCGGCCAAGTAGTCATATCAGCCGCATTCGGGAGTAGGAACCCACAAGCGGACAACCCGCCACAGGGACGGCGCAGAGTACAGTACATGTGAAAAGAGGCAGCGGAGCCTTGCATACTAGCACACAGCAGAGTAAAGGTACGGTTCAAGAAAGGCAATCAAACGAACAGAATGCGGCATCAGAATATAGTTTTGCAAGTTGGAGGGCCACCAGTTTGACATCCCTGTGTTAGACCATTGCTTTCACCAACTGCACTGCCAACCTCATTTTGATACTTGGCGGTGCCCCTGGGTCCACCATGACTTAGAGGGGAACCTCTCACCCCCCATGGTGTCAGGAAGCCCCTAACTCCTGACCACTGCATGGTGTAGGTTACATAATCCCATCATAATCCTAGAATTAGAATTTTTTTCTAACTGTTGGGTTATGGAAGCTTTTTGAATGAGTTGACCAGTCCCTGGTCTCACAAAAGGTGGAGAACCACTGGCCTATATGTTCTAACATCAGGACCCTTTAGAATTGGACAGTTTGTTTTTTTTTTAGAGCCAAGTAGATCCAGCATGAGGCCAGAGGCCACCAGATGTATGAGAAGGTCTTTTCCTCATCCCAGTACACCAGCCCCAGTTATCACCTTTCCTCTGCAGGAAGTGGATGAGTTTGTCATCAAGGGACAGGTCATCTTCATTGTCCAGGACGAATCTCAGGATGGAGGCCAAGTTAGTCTGCAAAGGGATCAAAAAGGTCACCACAACCATCAACATCGCCTCCAATTCTGTATACACAAACATAATCCCACACGGGAACTCACCTGTGTCTTGTGGTCAAAGCTCTCCCAGTCCTGGGCATTCTTGCATTTTATGTTGGAGACGTAGAAGAGCAGAACCAAGATCTGAAAACCAGAGCGAATGGTCACAAAAAAACGTTTTCCAATCATTCCAAACAGGATGGAGCCCAACATTATCGAGAAAGAGCTCCGTACACGGACGAAAAAAAAACGTACAGTCAAGGCCAAAAATCTTGTGTGTCCCCCCCCCCCCCCCTGCATTTCTATCAGATAACGCACATCTTTTGCCCAGAAAATTGTTGCAATTACAAATGTTTCACCGTTCTCATGTTTATTTCTTTTGTTTGTATCGGTACGACACAAAAGAAAGTAGAGAAACAAAAAGACAAATCTGACACATTCCATCCAAAACGGGACTGGACAAAAATGACTGGCACCCTCAATTGAATATTTGGTAGCCCACCCTTGGTAGGTTCCTTTTCCCAACTGCTGTTCTGAGATCTCTCCACAGGAGCTCTATGGGATTGAGATCTGGACTCATTGCTGGCCAGTTCAGTCCTCTCCAGCGCTTTGACACCATTTCTGGGGGCTTTTTGACGCGTGTTTTGGGTCATTGTCCTGCTGGAAGACCCATGACCTCTGACGGAGACCCAACTTTCTGACACCGGGCCCTACATTGCATCCCAGAATTCTTTGGTAGTCTTCAGATTTCATAATGCCATGCACACGGTCAAGACATCCAGTGCCTGAAGCAGCAAAGCAACCCAAAAAAAATCAGTGACCCCCCCCCCCCCCCCCACCACCATGTGTGACTGGAGGGACTGGATTCTTTTCTTTAAAGGCCTCATTGCTTTTTCTGGAAACAGTAGAATGATGGGCTTTACCAAAAAGCTGCCATTTTGTTTTGTCTGTCCACAGCACATTCCCTCAGAAGGATTTTGGCTTCTTCAGGTAAGTTTTGGCAAAGTCCAGTCTGGCTTTCCTATGTTTCTGTGTCAGCAGTGGGGTCCTCCTGGGTCTCCTCCCATATTTCTGTGTCAGCAGTGGGGTCCTCCTGGGTCTCCTCCATATTTCTGTGTCAGCAGTGGGGTCCTCCTGGGTCTCCTACCATATTTCTGTGTCGCAGTGGGGTCCTCCTGGGTCTCCTACCATATTTCTGTGTCTGCAGTGGGGTCCTCCTGGGTCTCCTCCTATTTCTGTGTCTGCAGTGGGGTCCTCCTCTGGGTCTCCTCCCATATTTCTGTGTCAGCAGTGGGGTCCTCCTGGGTCTCCTACCATATTTCTGTGTCAGCAGTGGGGTCCTCCTGGGTCTCCTACCATATTTCTGTGTCGGCAGTGGGGTCCTCCTGGGTCTCCTACCATATTTCTGTGTCAGCAGTGGGGTCCTCCTGGGTCTCCTGCCATATTTCTGTGTCTGCAGTGGGGTCCTCCTGGGTCTCCTCCCATATTTCTGTGTCAGCAGTGGGGTCCTCCTGGGTCTCCTACCATAGATCTGTCAGCAGTGGGGTCCTCCTGGATCTCCTACCATATTTCTGTGTCGGCAGTGGGGTCCTCCTGGGTCTCCTACCATATTTCTGTGTCAGCAGTGGGGTCCTCCTGGGTCTCCTACCATATTTCTGTGTCAGCAGTTGTGTCCTCCTGGGTCTCCTACCATATTTCTGTGTCAGCAGTTGTGTCCTCCTGGGTCTCCTCCCATATTTCTGTGTCAGCAGTGGGGTCCTCCTGGGTCTCCTATCATATTTCTGTGTCAGCAGTGGGGTCTTCCTGGGTCTCCTACCATATTTCTGGTTCAGCGGTGGGGTCCTCCTGGGTCTCCTCCCATATTTGTGTCAGCAGTGGGGTCTTCCTGGGTCTCCTCCCATATTTCTGTGTCAGCAGTGGGGTCCTCCTGGGTCTCCTACCATATTTCTGTGTCGGCAGTGGGGTCCTCCTGGGTCTCCTACCATATTTCTGTGTCGGCAGTGGGGTCCTCCTGGGTCTCCCACCATAGCGCCACTTTTCATTCAGATGGTGAAGTATAGTGCAAACCAACACTGGTGTACCCTGTGCCTGAAGGTCAGCTTGGATTTGTCTGGAAGTTGTTTGAGGTTCTTCATCCACCATTCCAACAATCCTTCATTGCAATCTTTGATCAATTTTTCTCTTTCATCCACGCCCAGGGAGATTAGCTACAGTGGGCTGTAAACTTCTTGACAATGTTGTGCACAGTGGACACAGGAACATTAAGATCTCCGGAGATGGATCTGTAACCTTGAGATTATCCATGCTTTTCCACCATTTTTGTTCTCCAATCCTCAGACAATCCTTTGCTGCTCTCTCTTCTCCATGCTCCATGTGGCACACAACAGAAAGGTGGAGGCCATTTCTCACCCTTGTACCTGGTTGTCGGTGTGATTTCTATATTTTCAGCTCCTGCTCATGGATATGGGGAGTTCAAAGACAAATTACAGGATCATCACAGACTTAGAATGCAATTATTTCTGACAATTTTGAGTAGGTGCCAATCATTTTGCCTGGTCCATTTTGGGGGTTTTGCGTGAAATGTGTCAGATTTGGCTTTTTGTTTCTGAACTTTTTTGTGTCACCGATACAAACCAAAGAAGTAAACACGAGAATGCCGAAAAATGTGTCATTGCAGCAATTTTCTGGGTGAAGTGGTGCATTATCTGACAGAAATGGGGGGGGGGGGGTACAAGATTTTTAGCCATGACTGTACACATTTTGTCCTGCATTTCAAAGGACTCGGTCATACATGGGGCTGGGGGGGGGCCCCATGGTTGAACCATGGTTATTGCCCTCCAACCGCAACCCCTTCAGCTGCAGAGGCAGCAGCCAAGAGCGTGCACATTATTATCATTATACAGGATTTATGGCGCCAACAGTTTGCTCAGCACTTTACAATATAAAGGGAGACAATACAGCAACAATACAGTTCAATACAAGAGGGATAGGAGGGCCCGGCTCATGGAGCTTACAATCTAAAAGAAGGGGGAGGTGATACAAAAGGTAATAGCTGCAGGAGGTGATCTGATGGAGGTGGCTCAAGTACAGTTCTCAGGTGGAGGTGGGGTAGGCTTCCTTGAATAAGTGAGTTTTCAAGGAAGGCAAAGTAGGGGCTGACCAGACATACTAGGGTAGGGAGTTCCAGAGGATGGGAGAGGCTCTGAGAAGTCCTGGAGGCGAACGTGGGAGGAGGTGATGAGGGAGCTAGAGAGAAAGATGTCTCGAGAGGAGCAGGGCGGGTGATTTGGACAATATCTGCGGATGAGGTTGGTGGTGTAGATAGGGCCAGAGTTGTGGATGGCTTTGTATGTTGGGGTTAGTATTTTGAATTTTATACGTTGGGTTAGTGGAGGCCAGTGGAGGGTTTGGAGGGGTGGAGGACAGAGAGGGGTGCAGAGGACACTGATTGGAGGCCAGTGAGGGATTGGCAGAGAGGAGGGTGGAGGACACGAGTGGAGGTGCAGTGGAAGGTGAGGTGTGCAGAGAGGGGTGGAGGACACTGAGTGGAGGTCAGTGGAGGGATTGCAGAGAGGGGTGGAGGACACTGAGTGGAGGTCAGTGGAGGGATTGAGAGAGGAGTGGAGGACACTGAGTGGGGGAGGAAATGCAGAGGACACTGAGTGGAGGTCAGTGGAGGTTGCAGTGAGGGGTGGAGGGACACTGAGCGGAGGTCAGTGGAGGGAGCAGAGAGGGGGGAGGACACTGAGCGGAGGTCAGTGGAGGATTGCAGAGAGGGGTGGAGGACACTGAGCGGAGGTCAGAGGAGGGACTCAGAGGAGGGATGAGTGGAGGTCAGAGAGAGGGGGTGGAGGACACTGAGCGGAGGTCAGTGAAGGGATTGGCAGTGGAGGAGCATCAGTGAAGGGATTGGCAGGGGGGTGGAGGACACTGAGTGGAGGTCAGTGGAGGGATAGCAGAGGGGGGTGGAGGACACTGAGCGGAGGTCAGTGGAGGGATTGCAGAGAGGAGTGGAGGACACTGAGTGGGAGGCCAGTGGAGGGATTGCAGAGGGGGGTGGAGGACACTGAGTGGAGGCCAGTGGAGGGATTGCAGAGAGGGGTGGAGGACACTGAGTGGAGGCCAGTGGAGGGATTGCAGAGAGGGGTGGAGGACACTGAGCGGAGGTCAGAGGAGGGACTGCAGAGAGGGGTGGAGGACACTGAGCGAAGGTCAGAGGAGGGATTGCAGAGAGGGGTGGAGGACACTGAATGGAGGCCAGTGGAGGGATTGCAGAGGGGGGTGGAGGACACTGAGCGGAGGCCAGTGGAGGGATTGCAGAGGGGGGTGGAGGACACTGAGCGGAGGTCAGTGGAGGGATTGCAGAGAGAGGGGTGGAGGACACTGAGCGGAGGTCAGTGGAGGGATTGCAGAGAGGGGTGGAGGACACTGAGCGGAGGTCAGTGGAGGGATTGCAGAGAGGGGTGGAGGACACTGAGTGGAGGCCAGTGGAGGGATTGCAGAGGGGGGTGGTAGATACACACACATATATATATTGAATACGGCCTACACTGTAGTATTTCACATATATATGTCAATGTATTTGGAAAGAATATTTTTTTAAATATATTTAAAAACATATTTTCTTCCATGTGGGGTAAAACAAATCTGTATTTTGTATTTCCTCGGGTTATCTTTGTGTAATATTAATAATGTCTTTGATGATCTGAATCATTTCAGTGACAAATATGTAAAAACAAAAATCAGGAAGGGGGGGGGGGGCAAATACTTTTTCACATCACTGTACATCATTGTGGAAGTATCTGAGATATGTCCTGCGGGGACCTCCAGGGACCGTCCTCACCTTACAGATCTCCACGTCGCTGTTCTCTCCATGTACAATCCTCTCCCACTGGACCAGGTTCTCGGCTTTGGATCCACATCTGCAGTGTTCTGGAGGGAGAGACTCTCATTAACAGGGTGACAACAGTGTCCATTCACCAACAAGTATTATCCCCGGGGGCGGACAAAATCCGGGGGGGGCAGGGTTCTTACTTTGTAGGAAGGCCAGGCGCTCATCTAGAGGTTTGTGGAGGATCTGTGGATGTTCCTCGGAGCTCCCGTTCCTGAGAAGACATGAAGATGAGAAGAATCATCAAGTGTGCAACGCAGGAATCAGTGCAAACCTGCCAGGCAATGCTGCATTTTTCTTCATATTTGCAACTAAAGTGCAAAACGGATATTTAAGACAGAATTGTATTTTGTTTTTTATTAGACTTTAAAGCCCAACTCCGGGAAATTTTTTTTCCCCACATGCAGTGGGGCCGCGCTTGTCACTGAAAGGGTCAACTGCTAGTTTTGATCTAGAGGTAAGCACAAGGTTTATACTCACCTGATCCTTCGTTCTGCTGGAAAACCATGCTCCCCCACCGTCCAACGGTGGACTGTTCCTATCTATGGAGCGTGCCCATGTCAGGAACAGTCCATTTTCAAGACCACTGAAGCACGGGGGTGCCAGACCAGTCTTGTGTGGGGAGGATCAGGTAAGTAAGTCTCTGATGTCCTCTCCCCTAGAATAAAACAAGCAGTTTTCCTGTGTAGTACAGGCACAGCCATACAGCACAGGTTTTAAAAAAGGAAAAAGAAAAAAAAGGAAAAAGAAAAGAAAGAAGAAAAAAAGAAAAGAAAGAAAAGGAAAAAGAAAAAGAAAAAGAAAAGAAAGAAGAAAAAAAAAAAAAAAAGAAAAGAGAGAAGAAAAGAAAAAAAAAAGGAAAGTAAAAAGAAAAGAAAGAGAAGAAAAGAAAAGAAAAAAGAAAGAAAAGGAAAGTAAAAAGAAAAAAGAAAAGAAAGAAAGAAAAGAAAGGAAAAAGTAAAAAGAAAAAAGGAAAAAGAAAAGAAGAGATGAAAAGAAAAAAAAAGAAAAAGAAAAAAGAAAAAAAAAGAAAAAAGAAAAAAAAAAAAGAAAAAAGGAAAAAGAAAAAAAGAAAGAGAAGAAAAGAAAAAAAAAAGAAAAAGGAAAAAGAAAAGAAAAGAAGAAAAAAGAAAAAAAAAAGAAAAAGAAAAGAAAAAAAAAGGAAAAAGAGGAAAAAAAAAAAAAAAAAAAGAAAGAGAAGAAAAAAAAAAAAAAAGGAAAAAGAAAAGAAAGAGAAGAAAAAAAGAGAAGAAAAGAAAAAGGAAAAAGAAAAGAAAAAAAAGAAAAAAAAAGGAAAAAGAAAAGAAAAGAGAAAAAAGAAAAGAAAAGAAAAAGAAAGGAAAAAAAAAGAAAAAAAAAAAAAGGAAAAAAGAAAAAGGAAAAAGAAAAAAAAGAAGAAAAGAAAGCAAAAAGAAAGAAAAGGAAAAAGAAAGGAAAGAAGAAAAGAAAAAAGGAAAAAGAAAAAAAAGGAAAAAGAAAAAAAAAAAAAAAAAAAGGAAAAAAAAGAAAAAAGAGAAAAAAGGAAAAAAGAGAAAAAAAAAGAAAAAAGAAAAAAAAGAAAAAGGAAAAAAAAAAGGAAAAAGAAAAGAGAAAAAGAAAAGAAAAAAAAAAAAAAATAAGAAAATGCCCGGAGTTGAGCTTTAAACATTGGCACACTTCCACTAACACAGATGTGTTCCCTGACTGGGGTTTCCCCAACAAATCCTCCTCCTAAGAATCCTTCGTTCCCCACATACTTACATTATTGAGTATCTAAATACTAGGATAAGAAGAAAAAATGTCACCGCGAAGATTGGCGGGGTTCCTTGGGGTGGCTGCATTTGTTTTTCTTTTTGTTGCCTATTATTTTCAACATGGTGATTCTACCAATAACACAGTTCCTGTCCTAGGGTGACAACACGTATTCACAGTACTGTATGGAGAAGCAGTGTTGTCACCCTAGGACAAAACCTGGTGATCCTGCCAGTAACACATATCCTGTCCTAGGGAGACAACACTCCCTCACTTGACAACACTTACTCAATTGTACTGTATAGAGGAGAAATGTCACCCTAGGACAGAACCTGGTGATCCTGCCAGTCACACTTCCTGTCCTGGGCTGACAACACTAACACATTGTACTGTAGGGAGGATCAGTGTTATCACCCTAAGATAGAACCTGGTGATCCTGCCAGTAATGTGTTTCCTGTCCTAGGGTGGCAACACACTCACTCATGGCATGTAGGGAGGATCAGTGTTATCCTTGAACCTAGACCCCAAGTCACCCTAGGACAGAATCTGGTGATCCTGCCAGTAATATGTTTCCTGTCCTAGGGTGACAACACTTAGTCACTGTACTGTAGGGAGGAGAAATCTTGTCACCCTCGGATAGAACCTGGTGATCCTGCCAGTAATATGTTTCCTGTCCTAGGGTGACAACACTTACTCACTGTACTGTAGGGAGGATCAGTGTTGTCACCCTCGGATAGAACCTGGTGATCCTGCCAGTAATATGTTTCCTGTCCTAGGGTGACAACACTTACTCACTGTACTGTAGGGAGGATCAGTGTTGTCACCCTAGGATAGAACCTGGTGATCCTGCCAGTTAACACGCTTCCTGTCCTAGGGTGACAACACTTAGTCATTGTACTGTACAGAGGAGAAATCTTGTCACCCTCGGATAGAACCTGGTGATCCTGCCAGTAATATGTTTTCTGTCCTAGGGTGACAACACTTACTCACTGTACTGTAGGGAGGATCAGTGTTGTCACTCTAGGATAGAACCTGGTGATCCTGCCAGTAACACACTTCTTGTCCCAGTGTGACAACACTGACCGCACTGCATGTATAAAGGGGCAGCGTTGTCACCTTAAAATGGGACCAAAGACCACCTTCCCCCACCAAAACAGAGGGAGGCAAATCTGTAATGCTCAGAGATAGCTGGGAACACTGCCATTGATCAGAGAGCAGCACAGGCAGAGAACACAGGAAGCGATCGGTTTGAAGGATTTCTGGCGGGATCAGCAGGTATTTTTTTTTGCAGATATCAACCAGATTAACAAAACATTTGGGAACTGAAATCGGATCTTACAAATGTGAGCGTCTTAACTTGTGCGATTTGCTTCGGCGCGATTTGTGAATTGAAAACGCATTTAATGAATGTGAGGGTCTTAACATGTGTGATTTTGCTGCTGCAGCGCGATTTCAGGTGCGATTTGGGAATTGAAAGCGAATCTAATGAATGGGAGGGTCTTAACATGTGCGATTTGCTGCGCCGCAATTTGGGAATTGAAATCGGATCTTACGAATGTGAATGTCTTAACGTGCGATTTGCCGCGGCGTGATTTCAAAAGTAATTCTTGCGTGACTTTTTCTGCAGTTTGTTGCGATTTCACATACATAGAATAGAATGGAAATCGCACTGCAAACTGCAAGAAATCGTTGGGAAATCTTCAGAAAGCGCGGCAAAACCACACAATTTTAAAAATCGCATCCAGTGTGACAGGGGGCTAAGTCACCGATGCGATTTAAAAATCGCACAATTTATGCGCAATTTCAGAAGACTTCACACCCCGGTTGCGACTTGCCATGTGAGCGGCAAATCCCATTGCAAGTCGCACCCTACTGTCCGCAATCAAATCGGTCATATCGGTGCGATTCAGACTCGGTCGGAGCCGCGCCAGTTTCTAAAGTCGTGCACGCGCCGCCGCCATTTCAAATCGCAAGATTTCTGTGCAATTTCAGCGCAATTTCTGAAACTTTATTGCTCCTTGTGAAGATTTTCAACGATTTCCTGCAATTTGCAGTGCAATTTCCATTATATTCGATGTACGTGAAATCACAACCAAACCGCACAAAATGTCACGCTTTCAAAATCGCATTGTAAGACACCGACATTCACATTCATTAGATGCAATTTCAAATTCGCAAATCGCACGTATTGAGACAATGATATTAGATGCGATTTCAGGCGCAATTTCAAATTCGCAAATCGCACGTGTTGAGACAATGACATTAATTAGATGCGATCTCAGGCGCAATTTCAAATTCGCAAATTGCAGCGATATGACCGGGCACCAAGTCACCGGTTACACCGCCGCCATTTAAAATCGCCAGATTTGTGTGCGATTTCTGAAACTTTATTGCTACTTGTGAAGATTTTTCAATGATTCCCTGCAATCTGCAGTGCGATTCCCATTATATTCGATGTACGTGAAATCGCAACAAAACCACCAGAAAAAAGTCACCCTTTTGAAATTGCGACGGAGCAAATCGCATGTTAAGACGCCGACATTCACATTCATTCAATTCGCAGCGATATGACCGAGCACCAAGTCACCGGTTACACGGCCGCCATTTGCGCCATTTCTGAATTTCAGTGCGATTTCTGAAACTTTATTTGCTGCTTGTGAAGGTTTTCAACGATTTCCTGCAATTTGCAGCTACTATTTCTGGTGGTTTTGATGCGATTTCACATATATCGAATATAATGGAAATCTCCGTTATATTCGATGTATGTGAAATCGCATCAAAACCACCAGAAAAAGTCACGCGAGAGCTACTTTTAAAGTCGCGCCGCAGCAAATCACACGTGTTGAGACACCGACATTTATTAGATGCGATTTCAGGTGCAATTTCAAATTCACAAATCGCAGCGGTATGACCGGGCACCAAGTCACCGGTGACATTGCCGCCATTTAAAAAAAAACGCCAGATTTGTGTGCAATTTCAGCACAATTTCTGAAACTTTGCTCCTTGGGAAGGTTTTCAACGATTTCTTGCTATTTGCAGTGCGATTTCCATTATATTCGATGTGTGTGAAATCGCAACCAAACTGCAGAAAAAGTCACGCTTTCGAAATAGCGCTGCAGCAAATCGCACGTTAAGATGCCGACATTCACATTCATTAGATGCGATTTCAGGTGCAATTTCAAATTCACAAATCGCAGTGGTATGACCGGGCACCAAGTCACCCGTTACACCGCCGCCATTTAAAATTGCGAGATTTGTGTGAAACTTTATTGCTACTTGTGAAGATTTTCAATGATTTCCTGCAATCTGCAGTGCGATTTCCATTATATTGGATGTACGTGAAATCGCAAAGTCACGCTTTCGAAATCACATGTTAAGACGCCGACATTCATTAGATGCGATTTCAGGCGCAATTTGAAATTCGCAAATTGCAGCGGTATGACGGGGCACCAAGTCACCCGTTACACCGCCGCCATTTGAAAT